TGCATCTAATTGTAGCTCTTATTTCCTGTTGCCTTCTTCTTTAATGTGATCAACAGTAAGAACCTCAGACTGCATGGAAGGTAAGAACCTTTAGTCTTTCAGACATCTTTATATGATGGAAACATGCATGGGTGATGCTTGTTAAACTGGGACAGTAGCCTTCCAAGTAAGAACTACAAAAACTAATTTGAAGCTCTCCATTATAAAACCTAAAACATATGAAGGTGCTTGCAAAGCAATAATGGAACCTCTAAAGAAAACCTGTTACACTGAATTTTTGGAGGGGGATATCAGAATAAAGAGGAGTGAAAACAGTGGCCACATCGCATGGTTCAGTTTAAACGTTTTGTAAAATTTACTGAAGCCTATAAAGAGGAAAACCAAGAAAAGTTGAAAAGGTTTGGTTACTTTTACAAGTCATGTTGTATAAAAGCAAAGTGGAGGTTGGTTCCAGATATAAGCAAATGAGGGATTTCATCAGGGGTCCAAATGAAAGATATCATACCTGCATCTTCAGTCTCCTCCCTTTCTCTTTCAGTGTATCTAGTGATCACCTGAGCGATGAGCTGCCTGGATGTGGAGTTAATATTGGCCAGCAGGGAGCGATAGTTGGCTCCACTGGCGAAAGCATCCCCATAGATCTTGATTAGGCCTGGGGCCGAAGAGGAGGCGACAGGCAAGCAGTGGTGGGATGATGGAGTAGCAGAGAGAGCCCAAACCTCTCTTTCCCTCTCCCCTATGGCCCGGTCCCGGTCACTGTTGGAGCGCCCCCGCAGGAAGAGCTGAGAAATACGCTTGGTCCGAGACTGGGGGCCAGCCGGTCGAGGCCTGAGGAAGGCCGGGGAAGGAGATGGGGATGGAGAAGGGGAAGCCAGCGAGGGGGTGGAGTTGGAAAGGGAAGAGGACGGAGCAGAAGGGGCCTCGTGGAGGGAGGCAGCGTCAGAGCTGGTAGTCGACCTAGAGACAAGAGGGAAGGGAGAGACGAGTCAGCTGTGAATTATAACTGAAAAACAGCCAGGACTAAAATAAAACAGGGGAAGCAAACAGGGCTGACAGGATATAATGACAGTGGAAGTGAGATAAGATGGCATCAACACACAGACTGGGCCTTTCAACAACCCCTTATCAGGCACTGGATCCTACCCTGATGATAACTGGCATTGATGTCCTGTAAAATGCACACGATGAGGAAGCTGAAGATAACAAAATAAAAAAAGTTTACACTAACTTGACTGAGATGGCGCTGGGCCAACGACGCCCGAGTTTGGCGAAATGTTTCCTGGGAGAGTTGATCCACAATCCAACTGGGAAATGAAGCTTTCTGAAGCGAGGACTGCCAGACCCCTCCATCTGACCCAAAACAAAAAGGATGCACATGTTATTCAGAGAGATAAACATTTCTATTATTCCATTTTCTCTCTCTAATCCATCTCGGATGAACGTGTGTGATTGATGCCAGGGCAGAAAACAATATAACAATGGGATGATGTCATGATCGAGACAATACAAACAGGATACCTACAGCAGGTTATGAACATGGTGTAAACAAACTAGAAGAAATCCTCCCGTCTCCTGTCCACCCCACCAAAAAAGCCCCTGAAAATCATAGTGTGTGTGTTTCCCATTCTCAAACAGGAAGCATATTTTGTAGGACTCAGGTCCAGCTGTCGCAGAGACCGGGAAAATCCCACTCCAAAGGTCACTGCCCCTCTGGTTCTTGAGAAACCTCAGTAATTAAATCCTTTTTCTAGGTAAAAAACAAAACAAACAATAATAATAATATATAGAAAAAAAACTGCTTTCTTTTTGCCTACAATCAAAATTTGGGGTTAAAGATAATCATTAGTCCTTTGTTGAAAAACCATGTCCGTCTCTGACTCCTCACATCCTGACACAAGGATCCACACCTCAAATATGTTCTTTTAAGTCTTCATGGAAGTGATGGTAATAACTTGTTTAGGGTCGAATAAACTTACCCACTTTTACTTTGGTAAAGTGCGATAAGATAATCCGTAGCCACCCAAAAATTAATGAAGGGCTCAAAGAAGTCCAATAACTGTGCGCATTTCCTTCTCCTCGCCACGAAAATCCATTTTTAAAAGGCCTTGGTCCGTCGTCACGGTTACTACAGTACAAATGTTTGTCTTTTTTCTATTTTAAATAATCCAAAAAATATTTTCAGCAAGTATTTCTTTCTAAGTGAAAAAGATCTACTGTCCCGCTCTGTGGTTCTCAGCTGCTCTGGGTCTATAGATAGAGTAACCGGCCTATTGTTCCAAGTGACAGAATTTCCTTCCTTTGCTTTGGACAACACCTATATCCTGGCTAAGAGAGAAAGAAAGGGACAGATTGGTAGAAAGAGAGGGAAGGACGGCTTTTTTCAATGCATATCAGGGTTTAAAAGTTTTTAAATAGGAAAAACAAAATAGGTGAGTTTGTTATAGTAGCAACTACTTTTTCTTGAATTCATAAACTAAGAGTTTAAATTGATTCTAGATAGATGTCTGATCCAGCAGGTTGATGTGAATTATAATGAGGAAAACAATGAAATTCCAACACAAACCACACAGAAATGAAGCTTGTGTGACGTTTTGCTGGAAAGAGGATGAAGGAAACATGCAGTGACAGGAAGTGTGATGTAGACACCTGTGATCTTTGGCCTAGTCTTTGACAGGAAGATGCTGATGGAAAGGGAAAGGGAACTGTCCTTGCGTTTCAACTCTTAGGCTTTCAAGTTCACATTGCAAAACCATATTTGGTAAAACACATACATGAGGAATGTCTCATTTAAAGTGCCTTGGATAAGTGTTCACACCCTGTAAGCTTTCGATTTTTTTTCACATCACAATCGCAACTGTCAGTGTATTTTACAGCGATTTTAAATTTAGAGCTGCACCACACCTGTGAAGTGGAAGGAAAGTAATACGTTATATTCTTAGTAAAAAAGAAAACATTTTTTAAATATGTGGCATGCTTTCGTATCTAGCCTCTGATGCCCCTAAATAAAATAAGATGTGATCAAAGGTAAAGGCTTCACTTAATAAAGTGTAAAGTAAGAGATTGTTAGAGAACACCAGTGAAAAATAAGGATCATGAAGACTAAGGAACAAAGCATACCTGTTAGAGAGAACAATAAGAAGATGTTTAGAGAACCTGTGGTAGCATTGGAGGGCATGTAGAGATCAACAGCTCAGGTGGAGCCAGCTGTGCTTAGGAAAAATACTGGACATAAATGCCACAAATCTAGCCTTTATGGAAGAGTGGAAAGAAAAATGCAATATCCCCCCTGAACAAGCCATCCCCATAGTGCGATATGGTGTTTGCAACATCATCGTATGGGAATGATTCCCTTTAGCTGGGAGAGAAAAGATAGCTAGAGTTAATGAGAAGAAGAGTAGAGCTAAATACTTGGCAATTACTGGAAGAAAATATGTTATAGAGGCAGAAAAAATTTTGACACTCAAGTCCATCAGGAAGATATTCCTAAACATACAACAAACATGCAAGAGCTATAAAACTATGCTTAGCACGTCTGTGCATCATAATCTAGGCTAAATCCAAGTGAGAATCTGTTGCAGAACTTAAAAATCCAAAGCTTGAAGCATTATACCACAATAGACCTGTACCTGTAAAAAAAAAAACTACATGTCTTATCCATTGCGGCTAAAATTCCACTAAGTATTGCCTCAGTATTGTCTTAAACACACTTTTAAAATTTTTATTTACCCTTTTATATGAGCTATTACGTTTTAGTCTGTCACAAGAAAACCAACAAAACATTGCTTTACATTTGAATGTAGTAAATTATGCCAATATATTCAGGATTGTCAATACCAAAAAGCAAAAGTAAAAGCGCCTAATGTGAGAATTCAGATAAAAGCTGCTTACTGAAAGAAAAGAGGATCTTCCTTAAAGTCTGCATGTTTCCCATTGCTGGTGTTTGTTTTCTCTGGTTCCTCCATGTTAGGACAGATGGTGATCCTAATGTGAGAGTAAGCAGAAATGGTTAATTGATCGTCAAACAGCATACAGGGCCACTGCTCACGATCAATTCTGCAACTGTTCTTTGCAGCAAAGCACAATAGAGTTGGATTTAAATTAAAGTTAATTTGGCAGCAGTAAAATAAATTTCACATTGATTAAAGAAATATGATTGAATATAAAATTCAATTATCATAAAAGCATAGGAGAGGAAAAATTGATAGCATATAAGGAGAAGATGCCTGTTCACTAATTTATAGTCAAATATAAGAATGTTTAACAATTTAATAATTTTGTTGAAAACAGGAACTCCCGTGCTTACTATCCATTGTTGATATACTTTACTAAAAGTAGCACTGATAGAAGTCCGGCTCAGTGTTAATGCTTTGTAACCTAATCTATTAAAAAGATAAACGTTCTGTATCAAAGTGTTTGCAAACTGAAAAACTTTTTTTACAACTACTGACAATATAATTTTTTAAAACATGTTTAAAAAGGTCTCATTGTAAACTACGACAAAAAAAAAACAACAACTTTATTTGAGCACATGTTATTAGATTCAAACGTTATGTGATTTCTGTGGAAAATATGAAACAATAGAACATGTTATACTGGAATGTCATAAATATGAAAGCAAGAGAGGATATATGAGGAGAGATTCATTTATTAGATATTTTGAGGAAGAGTTTGGGGAGTAAACATATGCAAATAGTTATTCGGTTTTTAAAGAAAACTAAATTATTTCATAGAATTTGATTATAGACAGGGTTAATGTGTGTATGATAAAGATGGGTATAATACAAAGTTATGAATAAGTATGTATATTTGTGTGTGTGTATATATATATATATATATATATATATATATATATATATATATATATATATATATATATATATATATATAAAATTATTATAATTTTTTTTAGAATTTATATATATGTTTATTAGTAGATTGTACATCACAAACACACTCTATACCAGTAAGTGGCGGAAATGCTACTAAATGTTTGTTGCCAACTGCCAATAAATCCAAGAAGAAGAAGATTTGAACGTACTTCCCAGATCTATCCCAGCATCCTCTGCGGCACAGGACCTCTTGTCGGCGAGGACAAAACAAGCAGCATCTCAAGGTTAGCAGTTGTTTACTCCGAAAGTGACCAAAATATCTAAAGTTATTTACAAGACTAACGCTTTCCAAATTGGTATCGAACTACTGAAATAGTAAGCCGCTCTTTGCGTGTGCGTTAGCATTAGAAATAGATAGCTGAAGTCTTAGACGACAGCTTTTAGCTAACCAAGGGTGATTGTAACTTAAAAAGCTAACGATTTCATTGATGCAGTTTTAGCACATATGTGCCAGAATGGTCGGAATTTACAATAACAAACTGGTTTGCCATCGTTGTTACTATCCCAAATAGACTTAAAAGAATAATCAGCTGTCATTAAATTAGCCAATAAGGCTATCTTGGAATCGCATCAGTTTAGCCAAGCTAGGCTAAGCTAAGCTAAGAAGTAGCTTAGTTAACGTACCAGAACTATCACCCTGATTTAGATGTTAAAATGTAATCCAGTGATGCCGCCTGGCTTTGCTTAACTTTATTGTACGCCATTATTTACACTTTTATCTTTGTCCCTTTTTATTTCCAGCATTCCTTTTGCACAAAAATATGGCCGACATGGTGGATGAGAAGATTAAAAACTATAGGACGGCTCCTTTTGACGCCAGATTCCCCAATACAAACCAGACCCGCAACTGCTTTCAGAACTACCTGGGTGAGGAGATCCACTAATTCTGATCACACACGAAGGTCTAACCTATTCCTAACAAGTCGCATCAAAATGTTCAAGTCATATGTCTCTATAGAGGCAAAATGAACGGGTCCATAAAGCACTGCATGATGGAGACATTGTGGGGTTCTCCATGAACTAAAAATGCATAGGCATTTTGACAAAGTGTCCCTTGTTAATTTCGTATAGCCTGGCCAGACTGATTGTTCAGTTGAACCGTGAATATTCAAAATACAGCCTGCCATTTTTGATGTCTGTTTATTAAAACAGACATCAAAAACCATCACACATTTGCCATTAGATTTGTTTAATCTAAACAAGTGTTACTTTTCTGCTCTTAGAAACACAAGTCTGTAATTCCATTATTTAATTTGTTTATTTTTTTTATTATTATTATTTTAGATAAATGGTGATGGCAGTAATTCTGTGCTCAGCAGTTTTTTGCGGAGTGGTGTTAAAAGGTTCCTTATGCTGAATTGTTCGAGACACAGCCCTGTCTCTGAAAATTTATATATCTGCATATAGGTTAAGGGTTAAGAAATAAATCATATTCATATGTCAGTAGTGAAATATTTGTGCTTTTTTTTTATTCTAACATCTTAAATTGAAATAAAATTGTAAAGCTTTAAGGCTGTTATCCAAGATATGTAACACTTGGTGGGATCACGTTTCCAATTAACCCCAGCATCTATGTCACTACTTTATATTTGAAATGGAAACACTGAGCTGTATTTTTTTTATTATTTAGTAAGATTGGAAGTTGCCTCATCATAGCTTTTTAATATTTAAGTACTACAGCAGGTTAACTGCTGAACATTTATTTTTTTTTCAACTACCTTTCGGGAAGAGAAAACTATGTTCACTGACCTTAAAGAAAGATGCTTCAGTTTTTCCAGCGTATTAAGAGCAATCAAGCTATGAGTTATATGGCCAAATATGTTTCCAATTGTTCTAAATGTGAGCATTATGTGAAAAATATTGTAATATGTTTTCAATTCTATTTTTGTGCTGCAGATTTTCACAGATGCAACAAGGCCCTGTCAGCCAAAGGCCAAGATGTGTCTCCCTGTCAGTGGTACCAGAGAGTCTACAAGAGCCTCTGTCCAATGGGCTGGGTCAGTATTTCTGATCACAGATGTCTACTTTTGCAGGCTTATGCAGCTTTCACTTAGTCAATTCCTGTTATTTATTTTCCATCAGTAATCTCTTTCCTATTTTAATTATGGCTGTACTGTAAATTTAATAATCTAAATGTATTATATAAATGCCAGATATAGATTCAGCCCCTTTTTTTTTCTCTGTTTACACTGATGTCATCATCTTAACCTCTTAAATATTTTGTACAGGTGTCTAAATGGGACGAGCAGATAGAAAGCGGAAGTTTTCCTGGGAGGATCTGAAGTCACTAAATGTTCCTGGTCACAGTTTTGTTTAGTTCAAACCTTTACCTCTGTAGTTTGCCTGATCTCCAAAACATCTGTCACTCTGCTGTTATCATTGTCATCCGTGCAGCTAAATGAAACTAAACACGCAAAAAATATACCATGTGAAGGTTTAGTTTGTTTTCTCCTAAAATTTTGATTCCTTTTGCATTATTGGTACAATACAGTATGGAGTAATAGATTGATTCTCAATGAAGTTTAAGGAATGGGATGTGTATGTGTAACCCTTTGTCAGGCACAGTAAACCTTTAAAATCAGGAGTCGGTTGTTATGGATGTTCTTCCTCCCTCTGTAGTTTACTCACTTACCCAGATGTGACTGATAACATTATAGGGGAGCTCACATTTCATTGATAGGTCTACCTCAGACACTTTGTTAGCACATGTAATTTGGTCTGATTCAGATTAAAGAGGTTTTTAAAATTGAATCAATAAATGTTTTATCTCCCTTTGAATCTATTGACTGATTTTTTTTTTTTTTTCTTCCAGTCAGTCAGGGATATTTTAAATTAACTGGTATTTTTTGTCATCATAGTTGCAGCACTAATCAGAAGTTTACTTACCATCTGAGTATTAATGTCATTCAATTTGTTTTTGGTGTTCAACAGTATTAAATGTTTGAATATTTAAAAGAATTGGGGGCACAAATTAGATCTATTGTAATATACTCTGGGTCAATATGATAATCTTATAACCATAGGTCTCATTGATAGGTTTAGGTTAAGGGGTAGTAGCATGCATCTTTGGTCATCTTTTTTTAATTAAGACATTGTTTCTCAACCATGAAACTGACTTTTATGCAAAGATTTGTTCATGGTTTTGCTACTTTTTTTTCATGAATTTTGACAGGCCCTCTTAAAACAATTTGAGATGTATGTTTATTAGTTTTGAATATAAAAGCATTTAGTTGTCCTGCAGTTCTAAACATCTGACCCAAACTCTCAGTTTAAAGCAAATTCGGACATTAAGCTGGAGCTACCAATTTTCTGGTGTACTAGAAACAGTCTTTTTTTTTTTTCCGCATCAGCAGCCATGAAAAAGTTAAATGGGGATACCTTTTATATACTAAGGCATCTTTTTGCTCCCCTTTAATTACAGAATGTAATACTAAAAAACTTGCTTACTGATGTAAATGTAGTTGTCAGGCTTTACAGCCTTGTCTCTTACAGTCATACACATTTAAATATTTCTATATTAAAACAATAGTGTTAAAAGCTGCTTAGGACATGTTTTCATAGAAACTAACTTCACTCTTAGGAAAATTATGTTGCTCATCAGCTTGGCATAAAAAAAAAAGCTAAAAGCCAGACATTCAGTCATCTGCAATACTGCATAACAGGCAGTACTAATAGAAGAAAATAAAATATGCTTAACACCATATATTACTAATATTTCTTTGTATAAGTTTGTATCGGCACATTTTTTTTTTAGATTATTTAAAATGTCATTAACAGCATCTGAAACTAGGCTAACTGAGATCTCTAAATTGTCTTTAGCTGCAATTGTGTGTGTATGGTTGCATCTTTTTTTTGCCCAGCAACTGACTGGCAGCATATTAAGGCTGCACAGAGATGGGCACCACCTCCACTGCAACCCTGAGGGATTGAGCAGGAAAGGATGAATAGATGGATCGATATTTCCACATAAATACAGGCAAACCTGTGTTTCAAGGAATGAAAAAAAGGTCAATCCTCAATAAAAGGGAAAACGAGGACGAGTTTTTTTTAACAAATCAATAGGGTACACTATCCCAAAAAAATGTGAAAGACCTTTACACCTTATTTACTTCCACCCCTTTATACCCTCAGTAAATACCCTCATTTAATTTTCATCAGTTAATGTATTTAAGGAAGCATAGATAACCATACATACCCTCCCTATAAATATCCTGAAGTATGTTCTAATACCTTTTTTTGACTATATTTAGGTTTGCACTGTACTTCATATCTGTATAAGCGTTCCACAAAGTCACTCCACAGATAAATACAATTTAGTTTCATATTGTGTCCATAATTTCCTTCTGTTAAGATTTCTTTGTAACAAATTATCTTGCTTTATTTATTATCTGCATAGTTTTATATTTAGCCAAGTTGAAAAATGTCTAAGTTTAGTGCTTTAAAAATAAGTTTGTGTGATTTTTGAAGCAGACATAATATATTGTAATGTCTGAAATTTGCTTTTGTAGCTATTTCCCCCAAACTTCTACACAATAAGATGGGTAAGGTTCTACTCTCAGGTAAGGTCTCTATCTACTGCAAGACTTCTCAGAGAAGAGACTTTTAAAGATCTAGTTGATACCTGTTGAGCAATGAAGGAAGCTCTAAGTTTGGTTGTAGTTCCTCTTTTTGGCCACACGATGGCAACCTTGGATTAAAGAGAAGAATGCTGTTCACATTAGTCACAATAAACAAACACAACTCAAGTACTTCTCTAATCTTTTTATTTAAAGACACTTTCCCTTTAATCAGAAAGGTGAAGCTAAGGGAAGCTTTTGGTTGCATTTAAGAAAAAATTTTTTTTTTATATCTTCTTATAACAGCATATATTTTCATAAAATCATTACAAAGAAATACACTTTACTCTTGTTCAGCTCCTGGACAGTGACATAAAAGCCTATACATCTCAGCATGAATATTTACCTTTTTTATATGATTTGATTTGCTGATTTTACACAACTAAATAAATATTGGTGCTGCTGAATGGATTAGAACTTTAAGTGTCCTGTTTTGTTTGACGATTTTAATTAAAGGTAGAGCTGCTTTAAAAAACATGTTGTAAATGTTGGCTTGCTGATTGTATACATACTCAGATTTATTTAAATCTGGAATAAACCACAGTTGTTAAACTGAATTGCATACATACATGCTATATATGTTTACATATGTACATATTTGTGTGTGTGCATATAGTTCATCTAGATATACCAAGGAGATGCTCTGCCTCCCCTAATGTTTTGCATAGCCCTGAACCTCCTCAGCTGAATAATCAACAAGACTCGCTATTGATACCAACTCAGAATTGGGGTCACTATCAGGCACCTCCAGTACATGGATGAAACCAGGCTGTATGAGAGGGAAGGTAATCCACAGAGAGGGGCTCACACTCCAATAAGAGAGACTGGCAGATGTAGAAGTAAATTGCAACCACAAAGTGACCACAAGGAAAGCAGCAACAGCCAAATAACTGCAATGAGTAAGGCAAGTTCTGAGAAGTCAGCTCATTCGTAAGAACAAGGTCCAGGCAATCAGCAGCTATGCTTGCCAGTAATCAGATACCCTCCCTGCTGTGATAATATGCTGGCCTAAGGAGAAAATTCAGTCCACTGATGGTAAAACAGAGAAGCTACCCACAATGCATGGTGGATTACATCCAAATCCAGTATCTACAGACTATACACTAAGCACAAAGAAGAAGGCAGAGGCCTAGTGAACATCAGAGCCACCATTACAAATGAAACATCCATGCTCCAAAAATACTCCAGGAAGACAGCCCCAAGATATAAAGATATTAGTGAATGTTTCGACAGTAGACTCTGGAACTGGAGGAACCATCATGGGAAGAAGAACCCCAGCATGGGATATATTACCCAGAGATACTTAAAGTGACTGATATGACCAAATCCTACCAATGGCTAAAGAGGGCTGAGCTCAAGGATAACCCAGAAGCACAGATCATGGCAGTACAGGAACAGGCTTTGAGCACCAGAACAATAGAGGCCCAGATCTATGGCGTCACATTTATTTCAAAACGCTGTCCTTCAAAATAAACTTACTCGCATGTACGTTAAACTACTTCTGCAAGTGGTTTATGTACCACCGCACCACAAAAGCACACATGCGTGAGAAACTGCTGCTTCAAGAGGAGAAAATTGTTCACCGCACGCGCTCTTCTCCCACACATGCTCGGGATCTAACTGCATGCAGGATTTTCTATCCAGCGGCCACGCTCGAGGACGGCCGCGCTCTCCAAAGCATCTCCGCCCTCGGACTGATATTCTCCTCACTGGAAGAAAAATGTGATTTGACAGGTTGGGAGGAGACAACCTTGTTCTGTAAGCCTCTTCCTGATTGGGCCTTGCAGACAAAATCACATGGGAAGTAGTGTCAGGAAGCCTTTGACTGACAGCTCGTCATCCATAGGTGAAGATGAAGGCTGGACAGTGGCGGAGGTTTCTCCAATGTTTGTGGTAAGTGGGATTAGTGATAAGAGCCAGTCAAGGCTTTCTGACACTACTTCCCATGTGACCGTGTCGGCAGGGCCCAATAAATGTACAGATCTATCATACCATGCAGGATCTCAGGTGCAGACTATGCAAAGAGGCTCCAGAAACAATCCAGCATCTCACAGCATGGTGTAAGATACTGACAGAAAAGGAAAACATGGAATGTCAGATACAGACAAAATGGTTGTGGCCTACCAACCAGACATTGTGTTTATTGATAAGCAGCAGAGGACAGCCATAGTGATCGATGTGGCCCTTCTAAATGATATAGGCATCACACGAGAAAAAGAACATGAGAAATTAGAAAAATGCTAAGGTCTCAGGAAATAACTAGAGAGAGTCTGGAAGGTGAAGGAAACAATAGTCCCCATGGTACTTGAAACACTCCGGGAAGTAACCCCACACTGGAAAAGTGGCTCCGACAGATACCTGGACATAAATATCAGTCCAGAAATGCAAGCCAGGTAGGGCACCTGAGCTGAGGGAAGCCACCACCCCACCCAGGACTATTGGGTGGGGGAGAGACAGAGCGAGAGAGTCGGTAAAAGTATTTTGGGTCTAATTGCAGACTACAGATTGATGGTGGCACTATTGAGCAAAAAACAGATAAGTTATTCATTTTCATAGTGATTCAGATGTAGGTGACAACGTTCCTGAGAATTGTGACAACAAATCTCCATTAGAGTATTTAGTGGGTGAAAGATCAAAACAGCTTTATTAATTTAACAGACTCAAAAAAAAGTTTTATTCCTAGTATCTGCAGAGTAAAATCTAGAAAACATATAAATAATATAAGTTAAATCAAATGAGTAAAAATGCCTAAAAACATATGTACTGTGTCTTGAACCACTACTCCTTTTCAATCTCAACAAAATCCTTCTTTTAATGGGAAGGTTTGAATGCTTGGATGAGACATTATGAGGGAAGATACTCCTACCTAGTAAGGCAAGCAAGGGCCCCACCTTGGAGCCAGACACAAGAGGAGCCCCAGCTTATGGAGGTCCAAGGATACCTGTCAGAAATAGTTATGCTGCTGTTCTGTAGGCTATGCCTTGATTGTAAAAGAAAAAAAAAATTAAACAGTTTATCTTGTTTTCTCTGACCTTAAACAATACCAGGGTTTGTTATCCACACAACTGTTGCTCAACATCTATTTTCTCTATTTATAAATCAGCAGTTTCTGATAAACTTAGGCCAGCCTATCTGGTGCATCAACCATGGCTCATTCACAGT